ACAAATTACATTCCAGGATCTAATAGTTTTGGTAAAATTAATAAAAATGGGAATAATAATAATGTCAAGAGGTTAAAAGAATTTAAAAGAAAATTAGATTGTATGACTAGTAAAGGTAAATGGGAAATAGATTATACACCTCGACCAATTATTAAACATAAACAAGATCCGATATATGGAAAATGTGATAGAAATTTACAGAATAATAATAATAATAATAATTATTCAATGGAACAAGAATGGCAATTCGTTCGAGAATCAGTTAAATATGTTTGGAAAACTCCCGAAGAATGTCCTATGCCAAAATTTAATATTGAAAAAGCATGTTCAATTATTTATGGTAAAAAATTTTTATTGGTGGGAGATATTTTACTTTTTCAATTACATGAACTTTTATTAGATTATTTTAAGGAGGGATCAGTACAATGTTATGGAGAAATTGCATGTAAAGAACATTTACTTTGTAAAATTGATAATATTGAACAAGGAAATGGAAAACAAAAGCAACCACCTAAAATGAAATTTATTAGAAATGATTTAATTTCGAATCGTCAAAATTTACCGATTGATGATATAAAATTTACGGATGCGAAAAATTTAGAATTACCATGGATTTCATATGCCCATAAATTTAATGTATTAATTTTAAACAAAGGACATCATTGGCAAGATGATGAAACGTTTCGTAATAATTTAATTGAAGTGATGGATTCAGTTCGAACCAAATTTCCCAATACTCTCATAATTTATAAATCCACAACTTTAGGTCATTTAAATTGTCAATCAGCGAAAGAACCTTTATCATCACCACCCAATGCTACAGAATTAGAATCTTTACCTTATCATTGGGGAGAAATTCATAGACAAAATTTAATTGCTAAAGAAATTATTGAAGCTGTAGGAGGAGTTTTCATAGATTTAGAAAATGTGATGATTACGAGAATTGATGATCATATTGGAGGGCAAGATTGTTTAAGATGGTGTATTCCTGGTCCGGCGGATATTTGGTTAGATTTTTTATTTTACGTTATGAATGAATTAAAGTAATTTATTGTTAATATTTAATTTAAAGGTTAAAATTTTTAGTTCTCCACATTCATTTACTGTACTTGTATTTCTTGTATTTCTTGTTGTCTTGTATTTCTTTGTATTTTTTTTTTTTTTTTTTCATTTATTTCTTCATTTTTTATTCATTCATTGTTTTTAATTTTGCTCATTTATTTTATTAAGCCCGTTAAATATTTTTTTTTTTTAAAAAAAGATTTAAATTTAAAAAATGTTTGTATATATATACATTATATAGATATAATATTATCGTCTTCCCACTACTTTTCTTGTTTTATCACCAAATTCTTTGTTTTATATTATAACAATAATAAAAATAATATAATAAAAATAATAATAATGATAATGATAAAAATAAAAATAAAAATAATTTCATTCATTCATATATCTATGCTGCGTGCACAAACTTTGCTACTACTACTACTACTAAAATAATAATAATAATGATGCAACAATAAATTATTGCATTTAATCAATTTTAGAGTTATTTCATCAGATATAGTTGTTAATGTTATAATTATCATACGTTTTTTTAAAATTATTAATAGTTGTTTATGGTTATATTATAAATAATAATAAATTACCATATCAACTCTTTTTCTCTCCCCTCAACTAAAACTTCAATTCTAATAACTCTGATAGAAATCTTTTCTTCTTTATTATTATTATTTTGATTTTTTTTTTTTTTTAATCTCGATCTATTTCATCGTTACAACTGTCAATTACCACCTTGATCTTTTTGGTTAATTCTAATTTATTATTATTTCTTGGAATCATAAATGAATTGAAACAAGTTCTTCCTTGAGGATACGAATTTTCTTCATCTCGAGTAGAAATTTTAAGTTGTAATGCTTCAAATCCTCCAATTGGTAATTTGGGACTACCCGTAACAAATCTTAAAAATTTCTTTTTCTCTTCACAATTAAATTCGGACATAATCTCGACAACTTTATCAACTTCATAATTACTTGATGAATCCAAAGGTTTAACGTGTTTACGTAACATTTCAATACTCCAATCTTCATCTACCTGGAATAAAATCAATTGAGCAAATTCTGTTGTAGAATATTCTCTCATGAATTCAAATGGAAATACTCGATTAAATCCTTCTTTAAATGATTCAATTTGTTTTTGTACCCCTCGTTCAAAAATCCAATCCCTACATATTAAAATATAATCTCGGAAATTTTCTTTCGTAACGTATTGAACATCAATTCCATGTTCGATTTCATTTCTTTGAGTTTTCGTTGATCTTCCAATCGGAATGTCATACGGTATACATAAACTTTCATCCAATTTTTGCATGGAATATAAATTTTCTAAGGTTTTACCAAACGTTGGATAAACTGATTTAATCGATTCAATTATTAATAAAAGGTCATCATCACGAGAAATTTTGGATGTTATATGTCCCGGATGCAGTAAAAGATCAATAAAAGCTTTGTTAAATGGTAAATCCACTACTCGTCCATCGACGATAGCTTTCGCCACAAATTGACCCAAAAGTCGAAAATTTTCCTGAATTACCGTTCCTTCTTCAGATTCCGTCATCTTTTTATCTATAAGAGCTGGATATAATCCATTCACATTTTTAATCCATACATCATCTTTCATTCCTGCCTCTGAATCATGTATCCACATATTTCTATTAACTTGTGAAAATTCGAGTGACATCATCGCATAAAATTCACGTGCAACCCCTTCACCAACACCACGTTCTCCGGTGAATGTAACTTTAAGATTAGATTTAATGGTTCCTAATCTTGGGAAATGTTTACAAAACCATTTAAATAATTCGGGTTTTAATAAACCTCCAGGTCTTTCATCCCTAGGTAAGACTGGTCTAAGGAGAGTTTTCTCTTCATCAGTTAAATCGAAATTCGTTAAATCTCGTAATCCAAATGTTTTCGCTTTAAAGAATTCATGCCTCTTCTTTGCACTCATCAAAAATCGATAATCCGTATAAATCTTAAGATGTAAATCGGGAAATGTTTGAGTTAATGCTGATAAAGGATCTTTAAGTAAAGGTTCCATTTTCATATCAACATCTCGACAAAGGAATAATCCTGGATCATATTTATTTGATGCTACGGTTTTCTCATATAATGAATGTAAATGAGCCATGAATTTTAATATATCTTTGGCGGAATCCGTCATTTCCAATTCAGCAGGAACGTGTCGATCGTGAAGTGGTAAAGGTGATGATTTCACTTTTTTATATTGGATCTCATATTCCCCACTCCAAAAATCTACATTCAATCTTTCATATTGATTCTTTAATAAATGACGATATATGGCAGCATAAATTGTGGAATCTAAATTTATACGTTTACCACCTATATAAAATTCTAAATGCCAATCAGGTACAGCAGTCGTTGTTGACGATGACAATGCATTAATAATAGATTCCGGTTCTTCTCCTTCCGAATCTTCATCTTCGTCATCTTCATCATCTTCTTCAGATCCTTCATCTGAACCTTCATTATTATGAATTGGATTTAAGAGTCCAGGTTCATTATGAGTTAAATGTTGAGAAGATTCTAAATCATCTTCATCATCAAATTCATCATCATCTTCAAATTCATCTTCATCTTCGAATTCATCTTCAATTTCCGCTATATGATTATGTGATGATAAAGAGGATGTATCAGTTTCTCCACCACCGCCACCGCCGCCACCATCAGATTCGTTTACATTATCCACATGTTCATCTATTCCAGCAGTATTATTATTATTATTATTATTATTATCTATTATTATTATCTATTATTTATTATTATTACTTTTTTCTTTTTTTTAGGTTACATTAAGTGGGTATATTACTGTTCAAGGTGGTGGTGTTTACGTAAGTAATTTACATTATATTAATATATTGATCAGGAAATTTATATAATTATCCACTTACATACCCATTTATTCATCTCGATAAATATGCAACTGTTCAACCAAATGTACAACAGTTTTGGAAACGTCGTTTCTTTGAACTTCGCGGCAAGACACTCTATCTTTTCCGAGATGAAACTGATAAACTTCCTATTTCTAAACTTGAACTTGATGGACAAGTCACTGGCGTAACAGATGCACAATCTGAGGTTTTAATACTTAATTCCTTTAAAGTCGATTTTCGATCGTCAGAACCATATTATTTCTTCTCTGATGACAAAAAGAATAAGGAATTGATTGTTGCAGCTATAGGCAGATATGCTAAATAATCCTCATATAAGTTTATATACATTTTTTTTTTTTTGTTGAATACAAGGATGGTTTTAAGTTTTTTAAATTTGAAGTTAGCTAGAATAAGGATAATTTTTTATGCACATCTTCAATTTATTTTTATCTTGGGTTTTTGCAATTTTTATTTTATATAATACATAATTTGTATTTTTTACAAATTTTTAGTTATTTTTTACATCTAAATTTATTATCATTGTTCTTTATATAACTCTAATGATTTTGTTGTATTTTTTCTTAGAGGCATTTTGCGTTTTAGGTATATAGCGGAAGTGGGATACATTATTTAAATAGTGTAATTTTTTATAAGCTTATAAAATGCAAATATATTGCATTTGAAAAAAGCATTTTAAAATTTTTATTAAATGAATTATTTGAAAATTTTGTGAAATGTAACTACTAGATGCAAATAGTGTAAGAACGTTTATACGAGTGACGCCAGGGGATACCTGTAAATCTGTTTTTGAAATTCATTTCGATATGTAATTAAAGTACATGATTGCTGGTCGATTTAGTTGTTTCAATAACGCGTAATTACGAATATTTAATAATGCAAATCAAAATATATAAAAAAAAATTGTAAGGGCTTATTTATTAATCAGTTTCTCAATTTGTAATGCAAGTAAATTTTGCTTGTATTTTTTTTTTTTTTAAAAAAAAAATAATAAATTCTAATTTCATAAAATTTTATAAAATTTTAATTGGAGTTAAAATAAAAATTTAATATTATGAGAACCAAAAAAATCACTTTATATAGCCTTAAAAATAAAATTACTGAGTTTAAGAAAAAAAGATTGTAAAAAAAAAATAGATTGACCCTTGAATCAACAAACAAGAATCCAACCAACTAGGGGCCTTAAAAAATTAGGTTGACCCTTGCTGGAATCAAACCAGATCTTATCATAAGATTAAGAATTCAACTAACTTAAGGCCATAAAAAAAATATTCCTTTTTTTACATAACGCCAGAACCATACAAGTTTTTTACATGACAGCTATAGCTATACTTGCTGGACAAATCCCAAATTCCGAAAAAACAATTGTTATTTATAAAAGATTAAATCGAACAAGTAATCTTAATTTTGTAAATATATTATCTATAACTATAAGAATATATACTATTTGTTTAAACAAAGATTATTAATAAAGTTTTTGAGAATTTGGGATTTGGACGACAAGTATAGCTATAGCGCCAAAACTTTAAAACCTTGGAAATAAGGAAACGAAACTATACCCTTTGAGGAACTCATACCTCATTTAGGTGTAAGAGACCAAGAACCCTCCTTGCAGCACAAGCCACGTTGAAAAAAAAAAGAAATATATTAAATAGAAATAGACCCACTTTCTTATAAATAATTTCCATTCTTTTGTAAAACATTTTTACTACAACAAGGTACATAACTAACTCTTCAGTATTAGTAGACCTTATGCCGGAGAAAAAACTCAAATTTGCAAATATCATGAATACTATATATTCAAAATGAGCCCGATGCCTTTCTAATCTAGGTCAACAATTCAACGACCTATATCAAGATTCCGCCAGACCTTATTCTGCAGGCAAGCATCAATCGGAACCTAAATGATCAGTGCACAAAATCGTGACATAACGTGTCCTGATTTTTTTCCGGCGATGTTTCTACAATTGGGTAAAATTCGCCACCCAAATTTTTTTCAGATCACATATGATCGTCCAAAGTGAAGATACTAGTTTATTTATTACTGTTCATATATGAATCATACATATTTCGAATAAATAGCTTCACATGATCTGAAAAAAATTTGGGTGGTGAATTTTACCCAATTTGTTTCTACTAAACGGAATTATTAATCACTTTTTAATGATAAGTAACGGAAAGTTTTCCGATTGCTAAAAAATTCTGTCGGAATTTTCTTAATTAACCGGAATCTCCGGTATTTAACAATAGAATTTTGTGCTCTGGTTTTGATTCATTTTTAATTTATTTTTTCAAACTCTAATTTCAAATAATATACTAATAATATACTTACAATATTTAATGGATAAGCAAAAACTTGATGGGGCTTCAGAAAAAAGACAACAAACAATATCAACGATAATGCAAAACTCAAGTAAATAATAAAAGAAAAATATTGTACGTTTAAAAATGCAAAGAAACAAATATTTATACGTAGATCTACGCGTAAACTAGTCGCGTCAGAGCATAAGTTTGTTTTTATTGGTCGGTTTTTTTGATCTACAGTTATGTTATACGAAATTTTGACCAATAGGAATAACTACGCATAATGTAAATTGCTACAAAGATATCTTGAAAGCCAAATGATTTTTTTTTATTTGGTTTTACAAGTATATTAAAAAAAGGGGAATTTACATATAAGGGCCCAAAAAATGAAAATAATTACAAATAAGGGCCCGAAGGGAAAATAATTACATATA